TGTGGATAGTATGGTGGCCTTATGGACACGGTATTTATTTGTTACGCAAAAAAAAACTGAAGACTGTGTATCATGTGTGAAGGCAGCTACCGCTATTCATTGGTAACAATGGTAGGTAGAACATACTATTAGGTTGCCCGGAAAGTTCTCGGCGTTTTGAGTGTTTCACTTAACGATCATAACATCGGATTTAAAGGCTGAGCCCGCATTCAAATTTGATGAGTTATGCGGCTCAAATACTTATAACAAGGTAGCAAGTAACCCCTTAGTGAAGAAAAATCAGAAAGAAATCATAGGAAAGGCTCTATATAGAACCCCTTGCTTAACTGAGGTTGTACGTGCTCAAGGCGAAGAAGGTGCGGTCGCACGAGTTCTCACTTGTTGATATCAGCTGTTTTCCCTTATCACCTCACTCTCACCACTCGACGTGGAGAGAAGCAGCAGCGAAACAACCGCACCATCAGATAACCATTAGGAATGAGTGGAGGGCAGTGCGGAAGTGATGTAGTTGTTGCCTCTGCGGCCCTGACTACCTCCTCACGAAGGGCGAGGAAAATCTCAGCTGAACGCGGGCGCTGCCTTTAATCGAAATAAGCACCGTTCGAATCGGCACACTTTTGCCAATGAGACAAGAAGTTTCCAGCAAGGAAGTTCTGAAAATGTTTGAAAAGGTGATAGTCGGTTGGTGAAAGGTCTGGAGAATATGGCGGGTGAGGTAGAACTTCAACCCCCAATTCGTTCAATTTATGGATAGTGATTTGTGAAACGTGTGGGCGGGCGTTGTCATGCAAAAGAATCGGACCCTTTCTGTTGACAAGTGCTGGCTGCAGCTGACGCAATTTTCGGTACATTTCGTCGATTTCTTCACAGTAGGACTCTGCTGTGATGGTTTGGCCTGGTGACAAAAAGTTATAGTGGATCACACCAGCCGATGACCACCACACTGTGACCATAATCTTTTTTTCGTGAGGATTCGGCTTTGGAAATTGCCTCGGTGGTTCGTCGGCATCCAACCACTGTCCGGAACGTCTCCTGTTATCATACATGATCCACTTTTCAACAATTCGGTCCAAAAACGGGTCGTTTCTGTTGCGCAAAAGCAGTGAAGAAGAAACCTCGAGACGTGCCAATTTCTGCCGGTCACTCAAATTGTGGGGCACCCACTTGTCGAGTTTTTTTCACCTTCCCAATGCGTTTCAGACCATCTGCAACACTGGATTTGCCAACGCCTAGCTTTTCTGCAATCTCTCGAACTGTTTGGGATGGGTCAGCCTCCACAAACGCCTTCAAATCCTCGTCAGGTATTGCTTTAGGTCGACCGCTACGAGGTTCATCTTCAAGGCTGAAATCTCCAGAACGAAATTTGTCGAACCATTGTCGCCCGGTGCTTCTCCAACATTATTGGGCCCCCCACCCATCGTCCGAATTTTCTCTCTTGACATGCTTCAAAAAGTCTTGGGAAAAGGGGGTTATCAAGCAATGGTGAAACGGCAATTATACCATCAGATAGCGCAAAAATTCTCTTCAGGATGTACTACTGATAATGAGACAATGAGTTTTAATCAGCAATGAATGTATCAAAAATAGTAACACAAAACGCCAAGAACTTTCCGGCCGACTCAATAAAATTTGGATTGAATCGGTGGGTGAGAGAAAAGTTATGGGAGAGGAAGAGTCTGTCCGAATTCTTTTGAACGCTACTGTAGGTTTTCGCGAAGAAGCTGATTTGCTGCCCACTCATCGAATGCAACTGGTTGGTCGCCGCTGTCTTTGAGAGCAAAACTCCCATTCTTGAATCAGATTTGAGTTGCCCTAAGAGGCATGGCTGCTCGACCACAAATATTGCATATGATCTTCGCCTGTCAAGACACAACGACTGACTCAATGCAGAAAGGAGGCGACCATCTGTCGAATGGGCGTTCCTCTCTCATGATCCAGGGCTAGTAAATTATCATGGGAAGGAACTGGCGTGCTTCATTGTATAGCAATGAATTATCTTACAAATAACATTATCAAAGCATTTCATTTCATATACAATCGCAAGAAAAAAACTTGGAATGAGCTTTGCAAGGGCATTTTCTTCAGTCCTGACTTATTTATTCTCTTCTTCGACACAAATATTGTGGGCAATATGTTAGATTCTAACATTTCAACACAATAATTCTATTCAAAAATTCTGGTACCGTTCTGCCAGCCCTCACAGAGCTAGGATGCTGTTCTGCATACGCGACGACATAGTCGGCTGTCTTGTGCAGTCCTCATGCGGGCCGGTGGGGTGTGTCAAAGCGGCTGCGTTTCGCGTGGTGCCAAAGTCGTTTATTGTATCCTTCGTATTTCTCGTTTTCTACCACTTTTGTCGCATACGCGTTTCATCAAAAAGGCTGAGAGCGG